ACCGACTGCGGCTATCTTGCCAACTACGCCCCCAGAGGCACTCACTGTCTTCGCGGGCGCCATGTGTCGGACCAGCACATTGGCTCCAAGCGGCCGTCCTCGACGCCCCCCCTCCACCGCGCAGGATGCGGATGGAGGCAACGGCGCTTCGCTGAAGTCGCGGGCGCGCGGGGCGTCGCCGCTGGCCTCGCGAAAGGGCCGGGAACAGCGCCGGGAAGCGGCGCGGCAGCCCGCGGGCGCAAGCGCCACGGGGGCAGCGGGGGCGGCAGCATCACGGCGCGGGCCGGCGTAGCTGGCGCAAGGTGGAGAGTGGCACGGATCGGAACGGATGGTGGGACCAGCCCCCCTGGCCGAATCTTCACCCCCCTTCCTGGCCTCTCCAACGCGCGGCCCGCCGGCCGCTGCCTTCGTTGTCAGCTGCGACACTGTCGCAAGTTCACGGCCAGACTCACCCGCTTTCGGAGTGATGATGGCGACGTGGCCTGCGCCCAGGCGCTGCTGGCGGGACAACGCACCGCCCTTCCTGGCCCACGACTGTCTACCAGAGTGCCCATGCCGAACGCTGTCGGCGTGAAAACGCACGGCGCCATGCACGCAATCGGTGGCGCACTGGCGATGGGCCCTCTGAACGCGCGCCGTTGCAGCCTGGAGCCTGGAGCTGAACAAGGCGCCACTGTAGAAGCGACCACTGAGATCGGCGCACGGAAAAATACAAAACACACGCACAAGGGCTGCCAAGGGCCCGACACTCGCGTGCCGGGGGGCGGCCAGCGATCACCCAGAGTCCGCGTCTATCCAACGCCTGTTTCGCGCGCTTCCGAAGCCGTTCTTCTCGTCTGCCAAATCAGAGCGCCTGCCTCGCAAGCGAATCCGCGCGTCAGCCTGAAGGGGCCCCCCAACCTGGACCTGGCCGAGGTCCTCACGGATCCAGCTGTTCAGATCCACAAAACAAGCGAATATCTGCTTCACCCTGCCCACCGAATGCTCTCGCACGCATACAGAACGAACGATAAAATCCACCAGGCGTGCCAGCAGAGAGGTCACGGTGGCGTCGGGCGCAGCGGGGACGCTGGGTCTGCACATCCTCAGGCGCGCCATCCCCGACATGCCTATGGCGGGCCTCGCGACCAGCACCAACCAAAGATCTGCCAAGATTCTGACGATCCGAGCGATCAATCCTGCAGTCGGGATCGATAGCGAGCGAGCGCCGACATGCCTGCCAGGTGCCATGCATCGTTCGACGAATGGATCGGGCTGATCCATCACGATCAGGATCAGCGGTCCGATCTAAGGCCGTGCCTTCTTCTTGCGGAAGTGCAAGGAGACGTTGTGCCTCCTTCTGCAAAGCGGCCTCATCGATTCTGGGGTGGCCTGCAAATCTGAAGATTAGCCCTGTCGAAGCACCTGGACAAGCGTCGCATGGAGGGTGCGGCAGCCGATGCCACACTCGCAGGGTCAAGACGAGGTCCAGGGTTCGGAGCAAGGCTGGAGCCGACGAGAACGGCAAAAACGGCGGCACCAAAAGTTTCCTGGCGGGGTGCGGGACTTGCGTCCGGCCCGACGAATATACTCTTGTGAAACATGGTGACGCCGGACGGTCAGCGTCGACTGAATTGTTCCTTCATTTTCCCAAAGACCACAATCCAGGGTGCTTGTTGTGAATCTGCTGCTCGACCATGCCCGCGAGGCACATCGTCGCTTCGACGAGCATGTTGGCGCACACTGTGGAGAGCCAATGGTAGATGCCCGCGGTCGAGTTGCGGTACGCGTCGTAGTCGATGGATTTGAGCAGCATGCGCGCGTAATGCTCCGGGCCACAGAACTCGTGGAGAGAAGTGACCCGATGTGATTGCGATCGAACTCGAGCGTGTACTTGTCCATGGCAATGCCGAAACTGAACTCATACTCGGGGAACGTGTGGAACCACTACCGTAGATTCGCACAATATCGACGATCTGTGCGATCTTGAACGTGACCGTCTCGAGCAGAAGGGGCCAAAGTCAATCGATAGGTCCCATCCTCGTCTCTCACACTGTCGCGGTAATGAGCGCTGATCCCGTCGTTGTTCGGGAAGGGGGGGTCGATGATCGCGAGCTTGCCGTCGGCGTCGATCTCGGCCTTGGCGGAAGCAGTGTCTTCGCGTTCCTGCTTAGCGGCGTCTGCCTCGGTAATGTCCTCCTGGCTCGGGAACTCGGAGTGTGCAGCGCCGTCAGCCATATCGTCATCGGCAGGTTTTTTTCTGGAACACAGGATCGGAGGATAAATCGTCGGGCGCAGCCTGTATTTGGTCTGCGCAGGTGTCGCCACCGGCTGAATCGCGGGTGCGTCCACCTCCATGCCGAAATTGCCTTCAGCGATGCGTTCTGCACGATGCCATAATCCCACCAGCCCTCTGGGCGTCGGTGGTTTAGAGCGTTTCGTCTTCCACCCCTCCTTCTTCCCCTTCGGGGAGGGGTTTACCCCTCCCCCCACCCCCTCCCCACTGACCTGGACAGGGGGGGCCGCGACGCGTTGGAGCGTCCAAGATGAGCCAAGACGACTCCAAGAGGGCCTCAGGGAGCCCAAGATCGCCTCCAAGATGGTTCAAGATAGCGCAAGATGCCTCAAGATGGTTCCGAAGATGCTCCAAGACGCTCCAAGACCGCCCCAAGACGGCTCTAAGTGTCCACTAGAGCTCCCCTCGGATGCCCCCAAGAAGCCAAAATGATTCAAAACCCTAGGGAAAATCGATGTGTTTGGCGTTCTCGCGCTTTCGCTTCCGATGCCCACCCGAGGCGTCAAGATAGCTCCAAGATGGCTCAAGATAGCTCCAAGAAGGGCCCAAGAAAGCCCGAAGACGGCGCAAAGAGCGCCCAAGAGCGCTCCAAGAGCCCTCCAAGAGCGGTTCAGGAGGCGATTTTAGAGGCTTTCCAGGAGCGACGCTAATTAGTGCTTCCGCTTTCTTTGACAAGAGGCCCCCAGGATGCCCCAAGAGGCCGCAGGATGGCCCCAAGGTGGCCCCAAGAGGCCCCCCAAGAGGCCCCCAGGAGGCCCCCAAGAGACCCCCAAGAGGCCCCAAGAGACCCCCCAGAGGCACCCAAGGGGCAAAGATGGCCCCAAGAAGCGCCCAGGAGGCCCCCAAAGGCCCCAAGATGGCCCCAAGAGGCCCCAAGAGGCCCCCAGGAGGCCCCAAAGAGGATCCCGAACGGCCCACAGAGGCCCCCCCGAGGCACCCAAGACGCCGAAAAGCCCCTCAGGACGACCCTCTACTCGCCTGGGCGTCGTTTCTGGACGGGCTGGTGGGGATACGCGAAGCGTCTAGAATTTGTAGATTGCATGGCCTGGTACAGAATGTTGTAGGGTATATCAGTGTGGAGTGGATGAGCGAACTTGACACCTTGCATGGGGTTCTTTTGTCATTATACAGAATATGTACCCATCTGAAGACAAAATCTATGACTGGTAATTGGACCACAAAGTATCCGCCGTAGACACCAGATTCCATGATGTAGCCGTACGAAGTGCCTTTGTCCATTCTGTGTATACCAGCATAGCTGCCGTTGGGGAACGGGCGGTCGTAGTGGTAACAAGCCGATGGTCCATAAGGACGGGTGTACATAACCTCGCCTGGCACCACATTGTTGTAGATGGGTCCTCGATCCCAGATCTGGCGGTTCAGAAGGACGTCTTTGTTGAAGTAATATTTGCAGGTCTTGATGGCGCTCCACAACTCCGATTCCTTATCATGCGCCCTTGCAACGAGAGCCTGGACCACTGTCTTCGCCTGCAAGCTCCCGGCGATGAGATCGTCCAAGGCGATGTCTGGGACGCAGTCCGTTACGATAGTGGAAGCGGGCGCGGGAGGAGGCAGCATGATGAAGTAGGAGGACTCGGGAGGACGCGGGAAGGAGGCAGGAGGAGGTGGGGGGCCGCCAAGTCTTTGCCTTCTCCATTGTGCTGGGTACGGTGGATTCGTGTCGCGATGACGTCGGCGTTGGTTTCTGACACCGCGCGGCTCGCTCAATCTTGAACGATCTTTGCTCCTGGAGGACCCTGGAAGCCCGCGCCGTGGGCTCGTCTCTGCGGGTCCTGGGGCCCGACAAAGGGCCCCTGCGTCGCATTCAACCTTGAACGCCCGCCCAGCCCAGAGCCGCTCGGCATCGGTCCCCCGACCCGCCGACCTCCGAGTAGAGCACCCTGGCAGCGAGTCCGCCCTATGCGCACCGCAAGAGCCTGCAGGCGCCACAACACGCATGCGAGCACCGAAACGTGCCTTTCAGCACCACGCCATGCCTGTGAGCTCGGCGCCGCAACAGGTGGGGGAGCCCGCGAGCGCCACATCACTTTTATGAGCACTGAAGCATGCCTTTCGGCACCACGCCATGCCTGTGAGCTCGGCGCCGCAACAGGTGGGGAGCCCGCGAGCGCCACAACAAGCTTGTGAGCACCAAAGCATGCATTTCAGCACCCCGCCGGGCCTGTGAGCACATGTAGTGGTGGGTCGAGGCCACCCCGCCCAGTACGATCGTTCAAGTTACCCAGAAGGGTGGGGGGGTTGGCCCAGGTAACGAGCGTTACGACGGGGAGGGAAAAAACGTGCACTGGGGAAACCAAAAGGTACCGATACCGCTACTCCCCAGACCTCTCGCGGGCTGCGTTCGGACTAGAATTTCGATGCGAATCCAGCGGTGGCGACGGGGGCCTCCCTCCAGGAGGCCCAAAAAGGGTAAACCGAGGCAGGGGTAGCGGTATCGGCACAGATGCCCAAACCCCGGACGTCATGTTTTTCCACAACGTCGACCCCAGAGCTCTGGACCCCTTCCCCAGGACTGGTTTTTCAACCTGGGTCGTTGTTTGACGGTCCCGAGGCCCGCCAAGGGCCTCCGGAAACCGAAAATCGAGAAAAACCTCCCGTCGTGATTGTTTCAAAACCCGAGGGGGCTCCAGTGGGGTCCAGGCAGAAGGCCGCCCTTCCTCCTCTGAGACACGCTGCCCTTGAGCGACGGGGCCGCCCGGAGGGC